TATTAGAAAAAAAATATATGTATTAATCTTGGTTCTCTCAAAAATTATGCTTTATAATTTAATAAAACTTTGAATTTCTGTTCGAATTCTCTATTCTCTGATGGAATTGTTTAATTATCGTCAGATTTATTCATACACGAAATGATTAAAACGAAATGTATCACAAACTATTAATATTAGTTTTTATAGACTTAAGATCAATCTTCTCACTATGTAAAAAGACTACAGTTCACATTGTTCGTTCAAAGATCCTTCATCCATTTATATATCATACCACCAAAATTAATTTGCTTAACAAATTACGTTTACCTATCATGAAAATTGAATCTTATAAACAATATGACCCAAAATAACATGCATTTCATGTGTCGATATCAACATTCTGGGTACGTTAAACAACTCTAACATCGCCCATAGAAAATTCAACTGATGTCACTTGTAAATATAATAATGATGACGAAATTGAGTTTATTAAATTGCATCGCTTATCGTTATATATTAATGTCGTGCGTCAGATTTGATTTGCGTCAGAATGAAATTCGATTTGAGATGCGTCACGATGTGTAAAATGAATGTAATAATCACAATCATAATTAAGCAGCTATTGAAATATTCATGCAATTTTACACAAGCTTTTCATGCCAAGATATCAAAAATTTGGCATCGATCAAAAATTATGAAAAGTTAATGGTCTGTTTTTCATTTCGTTATCAATTAAAATTTAAAATTAGATAGTATTTTAACGATCAAAGAAACAACACTGCTTGTAATATCTGGCGTTGGAGTGAAAGTAAATGAAGTATATGCAATAATGGTGATTCATTAAATTATTGTCACGGATTATCGTGAAATCGGATTATCGTGAAATTTGGATCTATTTTATGTACGATTTTTAAAAATTTTTAGGGCCTTTTTTGTAGGCTTTTTTTTTATAGTTAAGTTAGAATTATTAATAAAAGAGTATAGGTGGATTTTGGTAGGGCTTATATTTTCAAATCGAGACCCCCAAATTTCACGATAATCCGTAACAATTATTAACGCAGTCAGAATATTTCAGTACATACATGCGGCCAAAACTATTTCGGCCTACTCAAAACAAGTTATGTTATATGCCGCAATAGCTTCTGAATATTTCAGTCACTTGTATAATGCAGTGTGAGTGATGCCAAAGGAAAACCAGACTTTGGTTTCAAACTAAAACTTACTCTAAAAATCTTAAGAATTGAGTCTGGCAAGTTACAGCATAAATTTAAAAACCCATATTTTTCTTTGACATAAATTATCAAATTAATTTGACGCAAATCTTCTATTTTAACTACAACTCGAATTTCAATGTGACGCAACTAGGGCGTGTGGCACGGCTAAAAAATCTTGCGTGCCAGATGGCAGAACATGCCAGGGTGTTATGCCATTAAACCACGTGATAAAATAAATGATTTTGATTGGTCAGTTAATATACGGAATATTTAATTTTGATTTTCTACGCCTATTGACCATTTAAGTTTTGGGCATGCCTGTGACTTCTGTGCCACTCACAAATATAAAGTAATTATTTCAAATAACAGATAATAAAAGATGTCAGAAAAAATCTCGTTTGTAGTCAATATCATACTAAACAAAACTATTACTATTTTTATTAATAGGAAGAGAAGTTAATCAACACCTTGTCAAAAATGTCGAAATAAACTAAGATCAAATACAAAATCAAGAATACAACTCTAGAGGTGAATTAACTATTAGTCACAAAGATATTGTGAGATATTGTGAATTTATATATAATTCTCTATTATCTTTAGAAGGATCCTCAGCATCACTAAATGTTGGAGTTATTACGAAATGTGCGAATTAAGTTCATGTGATTTTCAAAAAAATGATATCATCCAAGTTAATTTTTTTTATCTGCACACGTGCCATTATCGGGCCTGCCCAATACTGCAGTTCAATCTTTAAAATACTTTATTTGCTTGTATACATTATAAACAAGTAAATATTTTTATAAGCTTAGATTAGTAGATACACAAAACTGATGCTGTTGATCCCCCGTATATCAGTAACATACTTTATTTATATCTGTCATCAGAACTTAGACATGCATTTGAAGGGTTACGTCTCATTTCCTCGAAAACCATTTCCCCGATATGTCATTTATTTGTCATCACGCTGTGTGACAATTTACTGCTCACAACTAATAAAATACTAAATTGTCACTTTTTTGATGTTGTCTTAATCGTTTATACTATGTTTTGTCTGCCCATCAAATTAGTTCTAACTCATTTGACTGTTGGTGTTAACGTTAAAATCTATTTATACATATTTAGAATAGATCCTAAATTTTAGAAGAATTTATTTCAATGTATGTAACAACAGTAATAAATTCAATCAGAAATGAAGAAGGGATGTGTATATTGAAAAATAGATTTTCAGGGTGAAATTGTTTAATCTAATTTAACAAAGTAATACAGTAATAGCTTGCAAAAGAAAAGGATATACGCAATTATAATTTAAAATCAGATCAACTCTAAAATTAGAAGTTTATAATCTATTGGACTGTTGAAAGACAGGATTGATTGACAGATGATTAATGCATAAGCATTTTGTACGAGTTGCATGTGATGCAAGTATTATTAAGATTATCTGAAACAAGTAATTTTTTTTGGAAGATCGAAATCTAAACAAGGAAAATGAGACTTTGTTCATTGTTCTTTAAACAAGGTTTAAAAAGTGTGTCCATGGATTCTATTCATTTGAACAACATTTCACGCGTCAATAGCATAGGCACTTTTGTAACGTTACTGCAGAACTGATAGTTTTGATTGCAAGTTTAAGGATCGTCACATTTTTTAACAGCATAGTAATAGAATTTACAAAGGTCTTTAATGATTTTGGTAATTGTGGATAGCTTTATTTAAAAGTACAAGAAAAAAGAATTCAAGTATGTACACAGTTATGTGAATAACAATTTTTTTTTCCTTTTTTTCCTTTTTTTTCCTTTTTTTTTTTTTTTTTTTATAGTATAGTGTTTATTTGTGTGGCGCAAGACATGATGCTGCATTGCAGTAATAAATTTCTCGGCAAAAGTGAAAAGTGATGATTGATGCTTTTCCTGCATGAAATATTCGGATTTATCAATGAATTTTTAAAATTTGATTGCTAATTTTTACTCGCCAAAAAAACTATTTACAAAATTTTGTTTTTTTTTTTTTTTAGAAAAAAATTATTGTTCGATTTATGAGGAATGAGGAAATACCCGAATAAACTACCAAAATTTAAATTTTCGTTTTGTCCATTTTCGAGAACCATCACTACCACCTGCATCATTATCATCATCATCACTACTTTCGAGATTTGCACCTTCACTTATAGAGACAACGTTGATCACGTGATCTGTATCCACATCATCGTCGTTTACGACGATACTCTTACCTTTTTGATGAAGATTCATTGTTAAGCGTCGTGTCATTGGTTCTATTTGAAGGGTTGAAATTTTATATCTTGGAGATCTTGGTTGACTAATTGCTACGGCAGAAGGTTCCGTAGGAGTTGGTGTAGATGGTGGTGTTGGAGGAGGAGGAGGAGGAGATGGAGATGGAGAGGCTGTTATATTCTGTATGTCGCCAACTCGAATGCAATTATCATCAAGTCCAGCTTCAGCAGCTATTATTGCAGTAGCAAGCGCATTTTGGCGTTGTCGTTTATGTCTGGATCGAATGTATGCGAATAACAGAGCTCCCATTAAAAGTGTACCAAATATCGTTATCGATATTATTATTGGTAAATTTTCGTTTGTTATCGTAGATTTATTTGCAGATGATGCGATTCCAGTGGGATAAGTAGAAATTGTTGTGGTTGTTTTAGGTATAATAGAAGCTTTGTAATTTACAAAATAAAAAAATAATTAATTAATTGTGAAATTTGAAATAAAGTTATTCACAAATTATTATTATACTAACCCAATGTGCTTATACTAGATGGAAAAGGACTTGAGGTTATGGAAAGATCCGTAGGAGAGCTGGGATTGCTTAAAAGATCCGTATGAGATCTGGGATTGCTTGAACTAACAGGTACTGTCTCCATCACAGTTGGGGAAGTAAAAATTGTGCTAGAAGTAATGATTGAAGATCGAGAAGGGACGCAACACCGCGCTTTCCCAGACGGAACATCCATTATCTCTATGCGCTTTTCACCATCAATCGATTAAATGTCATAACATAATAACTATTGTATACAAAATTGAATAGAATTAAGGAATTTTATATAAATAAGGAAAGTTTATATGATTGAGATTGAATAGAAAGTCGAAAAAGACGCAAGAGAATGAAATATATAAATATTTATCGACTGATTGCAGAAAGATTCATTTATAGTTTTTCAAGAGTCAAAAATATTTGAATTAAAATTGGTTGCATTTCCTTGTTTTATTAAATACAGCTATTTTCAGCGTAAATTAATTTACGATAAATACTAGATGTAAACAGTCTGCAGGTAATACAACTGTTCACCATATTTATACACTTTGAGTAATTATTTATATTCTTTACCTTTTTTGACAAATTGCTTTATATGTAGTGTATTTATCCAAAAATGATATCAATATAGTACGTAGCAGTAAACCGGACTTCAATCAGGATGATCCGCTATTATACTGTCAATGGACAAACGACTAAGTTGTTTTTAGCTTACCATCTCCTGATTCATTAATTGTCGGATGGCGGGAAACTATTAATTTTTTGTAATAGATTATTTTAATTCTTACACTCAACCCTTGCTTCAGACCCTACTTAAATTCTCTATAATAATGATGATTAGAATAAAATTACTTGTAATAATATTGATATTTATATTTATTAAAGTTAAGAGAACAATCCATGATTCACGTATTCTTAGTAAACTTTTTTTTTCAAAGTATTAAATCAAATGATTGTATTGATTTTGACTTGAATCCTAATTTTGAAACTGTGTCATCAGGTTTTTTCCCATTAATTTATTAATTATACATCGTTATTATTCCAACCTTTTACCAGTTAAACATTATTCTTGTCATAGCATTTAAACATTATTCCTGTCTTAGCATATAATCATTATTTCTGTCTTAACATTTAATCATTATTCTTGATTTGCATTATTCTCCATTTATTCATTGCATTCATTGCATTCTCTCAACTAATTATTTCATGTATATTGCACGTGTAGCTTTGTGATAATGCATTCTCTCGTAATTTTACACTTCACTGTCATAACAGGCATACTCGTTAAAACTTTTACTAAATTATCATGGAACTACAATATGTGTTGTACAGTACATGTTAGTTGATATCACAGTACGTTGCAGGTTGCTTATTTTAGAAGCTGTGATCTGTTTTTTCTGCTTTGTAATTCTATTTTGGAGTGACCCCAGTAAACGAGATTACCTATTAGTCACTTGTCTATCATTTTGTTAGCCGCGCTTCTGGCGACATTCATAATTTGTAATCAACCATATGAAATTCATTCAACATAATTATGGAATAGTCGAAAATTCGAATGTATAGCTTATAATTTTCTTTGGATGTCAATTTTTTTATATAATTATATATATATATATATATATATATATATATATTTTTATATAATTATATATATATATATATATATATTTATTTATTTATTTATTTATATCTTAAGTCGGATTTGCAGAAATGTCCAAAACTTAACTATATACAGTTCCATTTTTTAAATTGAGAATTTAGATCAAAATGATAGCCAAGTGACTAATAGGTAATCTCGTTTACTGGGGTCACTCCAAAAT